TGACTGAGCCTGTCTGCTTCATCAAAACAAAACAAAAATCATGTGGATCTGATCTTACATTCATGGTTCCGTCTCCTGGGCAGCAGTCCGAATCTTCGCAGAAGCGTCAGGGTCAGGATGTCTACCAAACTGACCCACGATCCAGGGATTTCTGGACCAAATCGAAGCGCTTCCATTCTGCAATATGTGTGTATTTTTTAGAGTCCTACTACTTTCCAAAGTCCAGTAAATCATTTATAAAGAATGCCAGCGAATCAAGCAGGGATGTTTCCTTTTTCTTTTGCCAGATGCTAGTAATGCGAGAATTCATCGACTTGTTGGCTCTCTTGGTTTCCTGATTCAGGGTCCCTAGTCCCCAGTTCAGTGGCTACGATGACGAGCCTTTTTTTAGTTCAAGTCTTGGAGCCTCGAACCAGGCTCGAATCGCTCGATGTATTCTCCTCCGGTGCCATTATTGTCTGTTAAAACTCCCTCCTACTGGTCCCAGCCGCGTCGAAAAATGAAGAAAAAGAAGCAGATTTTGCTCCTTTCCCGCCATTTTGATTCGTTGGCGGTTTTACAGAAACAACACGTTCTATAGACAGCGGGGGTACAGCAGGCATATCCACTCGTGCCACAGGCCGGTGCCTTCCATAGTTCTCAACAGCATTATTTGAAACACGCTGCTGTCTAATAAAGTGATACAAAAATGAGCAGTCTGAGCTACAAGAACCTCGCTTAGAGAATGTTTAGCGATTCTGACATAGAATAATTTCACAAAGGAAAATAAACACCAATTATTCAAACATTTGATGGCCATGAGTCCAAAACACACTCTTTTTTCGGATTCCATATTCAGGGCTCTTTTGTTGTTATTTTCGTTCATCAAGGAGATTCATCATGCTGACAGACATGATACTACATACCGAGGAATACTCTGCCAGCCACATCCAGGCTTTATTATCTTGCTTTCCTGTGTCGCGCCAAGTGATAAATGCGATATCAAGACTAAAAAGGTAACAAATCAACAAAGCTGGGAGGGTGCGGAGGGGTGGACATGCCACTAGTAGTAGCAAAATGTTTTAATATTTTGATTTTCTGCAAGCTCTCTCCGGCAATTCCTCCTTTGCCATGCCCTTCTTCTATTTCCATCTTTTATTTTTGTCTAGTTTCTTTCTTCTCTATTCCCTGCAAAAAGGTGGATATGTACGTACAACAACGAAGGCTCTCATAATCCCGACTGACGGACAAAAAAGAGACGCAACCCACCAACCCTGCATGCCTTCCTGCAGCGGCGTGGGAAAAAAAAAAAATAAAAAAAATCTGATGGGGCTTAAATATCAGGCGGTTCCCTCCCTTTCTTGGTTGCCAATCGCGATTTAGACTACTTGACTTATTTCGCATAAGGCCTTACCACTGGCTACGTTGATGACTTTTGCATGACTGTTTGGTCCAAAGAACACACCACATCCTCCCTTGTCAATAGGATATATTATTATATATAAATCGAACCAGTCGGCTGGGCGGCGGGGTGGTCTGGTCTGCTATCAATTCTCAAGAGAGGTAAGGTTGCTTCTCCAACTTCTTACTGTGCCTGCGTTCCATTTTGTTTTCTGCTTCTGCTTTTGTTTAGCTTTTGTGTTTATTTTGATATGAGTTTTGTTTTCAATTAAAAGAAAAACGGAAAACAGTTAAGAGGGAGTCATCCCTCTCATGCATCATTAATCTACTTCATCCCTGCAGGAAGTGGTTATTGCTGGAGGATATGGAATCGTGATATTTTGTGTGTATGTCCTGTATATACCGTACCATACAATCCGTTGTTGGCTGTATTGTATTATTGCCATAAATTACAAATCTTTTTTCCAGCTGGTGCTTGTGTTTTGCTGTTTCGCTGTTTTGCAGTTTTGCTCACGTTACCTGTACCTGTCTTTTGCTGTTCGTTGTTGCATCGTTCTCCTCATTTAAACTTCTTCCATTTCTTCTTCTATCCCCAGCTTCAATTCTTCTTCTACTTCTTTCAACCCCCCTTTTTTTCTCCCTCCTCTCCTCCCCCCCCTCTCTCTTTCTCTTTTCTCCATTTCTTTCTCTTCTCTTTTCCCATTCCCCCCCTTTCTCGTCCCCTCCTCTTTGTCTTTTCCGTTCCCCTCCCCTTTTCCCAATGCTTCATTTCCAGTCTCTCTTTTGACACTTTTTATCCGGCCAGTGACATTTAAAGAAAGACCTGACACAATCCCCCCTCCCCCTCTCCTCCCCGACCAGGCGAAACTAGTTGTTTAAACTCTCGTTAAATCCCTTTATTCTGTACCTTGATGACTTGATATTCTTTCTCAACGGCCAGCATATATCCTTCCGTATTCCGTATCGACCTCGTCGTAACACTGCGAATCCTTTCTCACTCAGTGCCGTGGATGTCCGTTCATGTTCATGAAATATTTTAGCCAATTCTCTTCACGATCACGATTACATTGACTGCAGCGATCTCTAATCCTCAATTGAGCGCTCTTCCCGTCGTTTATTTTACGATATCGTCATTCGTTTTGATTCTTGTTGCGCGTGAATACGCGCGACCTAACGTTCACTCCGTCGTTCGTTTCGGGCCCAAGTCCTGCGCATACATCTCCATTTAGAGACCTGGGCTAGTCGTCCAATTATCTCTAGGGAGGCCATTTTTTTACTTTTGGTATTCTTGTATGCCTTTTTGTTCGCTTCCTGCGGTCCTGTTGGCCCCCCTGCTGGAGAACACCCCATAGACTAATGCCCGTTTCCCTGACGTCGATTCTACACCAATCATTCTATTCATCCAAATATCTTTTTTGGACCAAACCAAAGTAAATAAGCCGAGGTCAAAAAAACTAAACCTGGGGACGAGAGTGTGGTGTTCTTCTGGCCGTTCTCCCAATTCATGACGCACTGGATATGTCGAATCCACTCGATATATGGACCGAGGAGGAGAAGGTACGGCTCATATTATCTTTTTACATCTAACCTGGTTTGGATATATTTTTGATCCGGTCAAGACATGGCGCAAAATCAGCTGATGGTTGATCCTTTAGACTTATCTCCTCACAGAGATCATCAAAAAGGCTAGAATCCCGCCAGGTTTCCTTTATAACATGATCGCGGAACATCAGGTCAGCCCTGCCTTCGCTGAAATTCCACTCCCTCCAGGTACGAGTGTCCATCAAG